TATATATATATAAGTCCATAGAAAATTATATAATGTTATTATTAAACATATAGTTAAAAATTTCTAAATAAAATGAAACGCTTTTTTTCTCTCATTCTGCTGTATTTTTAATAATAGTGAGCTTACCGTTATGATCAGAGACAAGCAATACGCAAATCCAAGTAGCAGTTGTAGCAAGATGAATATCGAGAGATAACCATATTGTATTCTTCTGTGATAGATTGTGTACAGCTTTTCCAAGTTCTTGTACCTGAATTGTTTCTGAAAGTGAAAACTTGCATGAGATCGTAATCAATTCGGTGAATCAGCAATGCTGAAACAGAAACACGCAAAGGAACTTATTGCGATAAAACGATTAAATTATCAATTGCTACAGATATTTAGCGATTCAAAAAAAAAAAGATAAAGAAAAATGTCAGGATCTTATTTCTAAGGAAATTTAACCAAGTTTAATCGAAACATTTTATTCATCGTGATTCTTTAATTCTTAATTTTAAATAATTTATTAATTATGCTTTTTAAATATCGGTTTTACAAATATATATAACAATAAATTAGGTGCGAAAGTAATAAAGCAAAAGATCATTCAATTATAATTGAAATATATCTTTGTTTCGTTTCGGAAGTAGTGTTGTAGATTATCTGGAGTACGCACTGTTATCGTTTCAGAGAAAGTGTCAGTCAATATATTATAGATTAATGATGATGAATATCGCCATTGTGAGAAACACGCGCAGCCCAACGTCGCAACTCATCTCACAATCGGCGAGAAGAGACGAGAGAGTATTTGCAGAAAAATTACTTTTCATCCTGTTAACGGCAAAGTTCTTCACTATTCATTTTACACCTTAGCGTCTTCCATCAATTATATCAGGATTTCGCTTTAGTTTACAATTGTACATATCAGAGCAGGATATTTCATACTAAAGTAAGAATTTTCTCTCATATCGGAATATCGTTTTGCTCTGTATAGAAATGAGATACTCCCTTCGAAAGCCTTCCATTTCTGTTACCCAACACAATAACAATAAGTGTGTTTAAATGCGTAAGATTGATAATTCTCAGTTCGTTATTTGTATAAAAAAAAAAAACATAAATGAAAAAGGTGATTTTAACGATCCGAGAGTAAATTAGCTGAGCGATAGATTAGGTTCAGTAAACACTTTTAATCACTTTCGTTTACTCCGTACTCCCCTGACATCACAAGCCAACAGGCATAAGTCGTCTCTAGGAGGATTGCGACAGAAATCTAGTCCTTATGAGCTCATCCTCGCAGGATCGGGGCTGCACTTCCGCAAGTAGTACGTCCGTTCGCACGTCC